ACTTGAGGGACAGGACGCAGCTCTCGTGAAGGTGGAGCTGGTACTTTTCCGATTTTGTCACATGCAGGATTTCCACGTTGCTGCTCTCCATCCCAACAGCCAGCCATTCACCTGTTGGGCAGTAGCCCAGGGAGAAGATCTGGGGAGCAGGCAAAAGAGACAGGGCCAGAATGAGGTGGGGGTGGGCGGCCTCCTCCTCCACAGTGCATTTAGCTATTATGGCTATCACTTGACTTCTCCCCCCCCCCACACCCACCTCAATTTAATTTGTCTAATCCTTTTTACACACCATGACCACCTCGTCTTGTGGCAGTGAATCCCATAAGCCTAATATGGGTCGTGCAAAATCTTTCCTTCTCTCTGTCCTGAATCTAGTGCCAGTGAATTCCACCAAGTGACCCTGAGTTTTAACGTTAAAATCACATTTTTTTCTCCTTTATCTACTTTCTCCACAGCTTTCAGGTGATAACATTTCTAATATATCCCACCCTAAATCATTCCCCCCCCCCAATCTTAGAAAGCACCAAATACTCCATTCCTTTTTCGTCCTGGTTTCGTACCTGTTAACATGAATTTAAATCTTCCATTATCCTCACACAAGGGGACACCAAAACGCAGGGGCAAAGCCCCCTGTTAACCACAATGATACCTTTTCCAAACTGCCTTTGTATTCCATTTTAATAACTGGTTCCTAGTGGGTCTTTTTTCTGTCATTTCAGACAGACCCGTTTTAGTAACTAGCTGCTAGCAGAATTTATTCCTGTTCATACAAACCCACTTGTGTCGGGTTAGCAAAGTGTGGTTGAGTCGCTTTTGAGGGAAATTGCGTTTTCCCATTTTCAACCCCTTAATTGCGCTTCTGAATCGCTGCGGTGTGCTGTTTAAAACGTTCATAGCACTTCCTACAATACCACTTCTCCCCCCACCCTTTCTCACCGTGTGATCTTCCTCTGAATTAAAAAAAAAATGTTCTAAGGTGAGTGCTATAGCACTGAAGTGCTATAGCAGCACCATTGAGTCAATGCATCTCAGTGGTGTTGCTATAGCACTGAAGTTTAGCACTATAGCGCTCACCTTAGAATGTTTTTTTTAAGTCTAAGGAAGATTGCACAGTGAAAGGGGGGGGGGGAGGAAGCACCCCTTCTCAAAATGCCACGAATGGCTTCAGAGACAGCTCATTAATGAAAGGAAATTTGCTGTATGAAGACCCCGTCCCCGTATCGCTTTACTCGAAATCGGGCCAACAACGAACAAATCCAGTTTAGAATGGTAATGTGAAAAGGGCTCTTAAAGCACCCTAGTAAAGTGATACTATATCCTTTCACAGACACATTCCACCTCCAGGTTCCTTATGGTGGTCCTCTTCCAACGTTATGATCCCACCGCTAACAGCAGGACCCTGCTCCAGGCACCTTATTTCAACCCACTTTATCATCAGGGCGCCTCATCCTGACAACTAGGGTTGCCACCCTCCAGGTGGTGGCAGGAGATCTCCTGGGATTATAGATGATCTCCAGGAGACAGAGATCAGTTCCTCTGGTGAAAATGGCCACTTTGGAAGGTGGACTCTATGGCATCGTACCCCCCTGAAGTCTCTCCCCTCCCCTCCCAGACCCCACCTTCCTCAGGGTCCACCCTCAAAATCTCCAGATATTTTCCAACCCAGAACTGACAGCCCTATTGACAAACATCGGTCATTTCTACCCTTTCTCGTATTTAACATGGGGGCTTGTCCAGCATAGAGGGGCTAAGACAGGGCAGAAGGAGGGCAAGGGAGGAGGACTATGTAGGTTAAAATATTTTGTGCTGGCTTTAATTCCTGGCATTGTCCACCCTGAGTGTGTTGGAAGGGCAGGATACAGATGCCTTCTGAAACAATCTCTACTGCTTAAAATAAAGTACAAGGAAAGGGGGGGAGGGGATTACCTGGAACCATAGTATTAACAACAGCCAATCCCTAGACACAAACTTCCGCAAAGTTCATCCTTGAATCCAGAAGCGTTACTATCCAAAAGCCCTCTGGAAGAAGCCAGGCTTTACGTGCCCTAATTTTATTACACTAGGCTTGCATTGAAATGTCATGTTAATAGTAATTATTATAATTGATTATTGCAAATCAGCATCTAGGCCTTTTCTCCTTCCCATCACCAGCTTCAACAGTGGGACAAAACAGTCTTTGTGAAAGCTGGCTCCACCCCTTTTAAAGCCTGCCTCCCAAAGCTTTGCCGATTGGCTGCTGTTGGGAGTGCCCGCCCCCTTTCCCTCTCATTAGAGGCTCTATAAGACTCCACCCCTTTCCCTTCTGCTCACCTGGGAGCTGAAGTCGTGCTGCTGAAGTTGCCGGCCTTCGCGGAGGTCCCAGCACCGCACAGTGTTATCCAGCCCCCCTGTCCACAGCTTGGTGCCATAGTTGGAGATATCGATGCAGCTGGCGCCGTCTGTGTGACCTTGGAATTGCCTGGAGGAAGATGGAGGAGAAGCCGTGGGTGGGTCATTACGCCAGGTATTCTCTGGCCCATCTCCCCTCTGATCTCTGGATCTGGGCTTTGGTTCTGGCCAGCGTCACCTTCTGCGGCTCATTCCTCAGTGGCCTCAGTGAGCATGAAGACTGCCCAGGTCTTGCACACCCAAGAGCAAAACAAACACCCAGAAGTACGCCTGTCAGCCTCTAGGTGGCTGATGCAAAACCAAAACTGTGCACAAGTTACTATGAACCAAATCCGTTATTCGTGTTTTATCGTTAACAAAGATGCTCTCGCACTCAATTTGTATTCAAGGCACGCAACAACCAACCAGATCACAGTCCATATACGCTCAGTCCAAAAGCATTTCCATTCTCATCCAAATTTCTTAGTGCAATAAGGTGCCCGTACCGAATAAACGTTTCCAGTTCGTTAATTTCAAAACGCAACAGATGGATGTTCCACGTTATTCAGTTTCAAAAGTGCACACGTGAAGACTGTGGAAAGGACACTCCCGTTTCCACCTCTCAGAGAGCTTTTTCAAAGAGGAGACAGGACTTTGTTGTCCATACACGCAGTGCTACCATTCCAATATGAATACGAACAATTCTCAGGAGGAAATTCTCCTCCACAGCAGAGGCTGATATAGGAAGAGGCAAGGTCAGAGCAGTACATCGTGCAGAGAGGCGGCAGACAGCCTCCTCTGCAGACGCGTGCCTGTGGCGCAGAAAGCTGGAAAAGACTGCAGCAAGTACCATTCATCTCACCTGACCATGGTTTGATTCTGCAGGTCCCACACCACGATGTTCCCGTCGCTGCAGCACGAGAAGCAGACCTTGGCGTCGGGGCTGATGGCCAGGGCGTAGCAGGCCGGGGCGGAGGAGGTCAGCTCGGCCTTGATCCGGGGGGTGGGAGACGCCAGGTCCCAGATGGAGAGGGTGCTGGCCTCCCCGCCCACAATGAGGCTCCGGCTGTCGGGGAGCAGCTTGCAAGAGCGGATGTAATTGTCCCTATTCTGGTTCCGGGTGGGGTGGAAAGTCAGAAGGCAGAAGTTAAAGCCCTCCCGTTCTCTCCACTGGAAGCCTGAACCAACTGCACACTTTCAGCCGCAAGGGCTAGGAACTTAGGGGGCAAGTTGTAAAACAGCCAGAAATTGTGAAGAGGCTGAGCCATTCACTTATACCACGCCAGGGACTGAACGGGGGACCTTCGGCACGCAAAGCATGCGCTTTACCCCCAAAGCTGCAGCCCCACAGAGGGCATCTGGCTTCAGCTTCCCCTACTTTGGGGTTCCTTATGGGCCTCTGCATCAAACCCTTGGAGTACGCAGGACCTGGGGACTTGGGGGCCGGCACCTCTTTGTACATACCAAGCAGTCTAACTGCGCAACAGGCGTCTTGGTTCCGGGCTGCCCCACGTCCCACACCTTGACGCAGCCCTTCCCTCCCGTGTAGACGTGCTGGGTGGAGTTGCTGATGGTCACGGCACAGACCACCTCGCCGTGGGTCAGCGTGTGGAGCTGGCGGGCGTGCCGTGGGATGCCGGAGCCGATGAGGGCGTCGGGCGGGAAGGGGACCGGCTGCATTTGACCATCAGCACTCACGTGGAAAGAGTAAGCCCTAGAAGGGGGGGGGGGGGGGAAGCCCGACAGAGAATTTCCAATGGACCTTAGAAGAGAATAAAATGGACATAGCCTGCCCCAGCCTCACACGGTGCACAGCTGCCCACATAGTGAAAATGACTGCCAACTTGATCATGGTAACATTAGTACAATTTCTCTCTTCCGTCCTTCATATGGGGTTTTCGAAAGAGAGCAGAAAGTGACAGAACTCAGACTTAAGGGGAATACAATCTCAGGTTCCAGTCAATGGAAAGTGCAAAAGACACAGAGGTCTTTTGCCTGGGAGTGTTAACTGGGAGTGTTAACAAACATTCCACATAACGAAGTTGGAGTCCAGCGGCATCTTTAAGACCAACAAAGTTTAAGTCCAGGTATAAGCTTTCATGTGCATGAAGAATTAAACTCCTCGGCAAATAGAAGGGGAAGTCGTGGAAGTAGTGACAGACTTCACGTTCCTGGGATCCCAGATCACCGCAGACTGTCACAGCAGCCATGAAATTAAAAGATGCCTGCTCCTTGGGAGGAAAGCGATGGCGAACCTAAACAGCATGATAAAAAGTAGAGACATCACCCTGCCAACAAAAGTCCGCATGGTCAAAGCAATGGTATTCCCAGTAGTCATGTGTGGCTGCGAGAGTTGGACTATAAGGAAGGCCGAGCGCCGAAGAATAGATTCTTTGGAACTATGGTGCTGAAGAAGACTCTTGAGAGTCCCTTGGACTGCAAGAAGATCAAATCAGTCAAGCCTAAAAGAAATCAACCCTGACTGTCCCCTGGAAGGCCAGATAATGAAACTGAAGCTCAAATACTTTGGCCGCCAAATGAGAAGGGAGCACCCACTGGAGAAGACCCCCGATGCTGGGAAAGATTGAAGGTCAAAGAAGACGGGGACAGCAAAGGATGAGATGGTTAGACAGTGTCAGAGATGCAATGAACATGAAGTTGAGCAAACGTCAGAGGACGGCGGAAGACAGGAAGGCCTGGAGTGATCTGGTCCATGGGGTCGCGAAGAGTCGGACTCGACTGTGCGACTGAACACCAACAACAAAAGCTTTCATCTGCATGAAGAATTAAACTTTGTTAGTCTTAAAGGTGCCGCTGGACTCCAGCTTTGTTCTGTTGCTTCAGACCCGCAGGGCGACCCACCTGAATCAAACATTCCACATGTACTTGTGCTTGGTGGGCTAGAGGAAAAAGGGGTCTCACTCAAAGATGCCACTGAGAAAGGGGTTTGTGCAGGAGTGTGTGTGTGTGTGGGGGGAACTGACAGTCAAGAAGCGTACTGAGGCTGCAAGCAGAAAGGGCAGGGAGGGGAAGCATGCAGAGAAAAGGCTGAGATGGAGAATTCAGGACGACTGACAACAGTATCCCTGTGGGAAACCAGGGCGGGAAGAGAGCATGGGGCAAAGCCACTGAGAAGCACCAACAAGGACTGTCCTGTCGGAGGGGGTGGGACGCCACTGTTGGGGTCGGGGGGGGAGTGGCAGATCCGCCCTTTCTTGCGTCCCAGGCCAGACCTTCTGACTCGGCTGGTTCCACACTTACGGCTTGCTCCCAGGAACAGCTGGCAGGGAGGCGGAGACGGTCGGTCTGCGCAAGTGCGGGTGGGACTCAAAGGCCACCTGTCGAAGCCAAAGAGAGAAAGTTCAGCAGAGCAGGTCCACGCAATCCCAATTGACCCCCAAACTCGGGAACAGTCAAGGCGCAGAACTGGCACCGGCAAAGGCGCCCACCAAATGGTATTCCCCACGGACACACACGGGTGGGGCGGGGAGGCAACCTAGGGCTTACAGACTCGTGTGTCGAATACCATTCCACCCTTCCTCCAGAAAGCTCAGAGCGGCATCCACGGTTCCCCTTTCCTCACTGTATCCTCACAAACTATCGCCCTGTGAGCCTGAATCCAAGGTAGAGTCGGAATTTGAACCCGAGTCCCACAAATCCTACCCTAGCTGCTACATTCAAGTCTCATTTGACTTTTCAGTGCTCTCTGGGTGTTTCCATTATGCCCAGGGTTGCCATGCCACGGGCGGGGGATGGGGGTCATAGGGTTGCCAGGTCCAGGTTGGGAAACTCCTGGAGATTTGGGGGTGGAACCTGGTGAGGACTGGGGCCTCAGTGGGGTGCAATGCCATAGAGTCCACCCTCCCAAGCATCTATTTTCTCCATAGGAATTGGTCTCTGGAGTCTGGAGATGAGCTGTAATTCCGGTGGATCCCCATGACCCTGCCTGGAGGCTGGCATCCACAACTGTGCCCTAATCAGCTTTTTCTCACCCTAGCCCCCAAGCTGTGCCTTTTTGTGTTTAATATGTAGTTGGATGACGACTCCAGCAACATTCGAAAGTTCGGGCTCTGATTTTGAGCTGTTCGGTCCCAATAAACCAGTCTTCCTGCACTTGGGCCCTGACTTGAATGGCCCAGGTGGGCCTGATCTCGTCAGCTCTCAAAAGGTAAGCGGGGTCAGCCTGGGTCAGAGGCCAGCCTGGGTCAGAGGCCATTAAAGAGGTCCAGGGTTGCTAGCAGAGGCAGGCCACGGCAAACCACCTCTGACTGCCTCTGGCCACAAAAACCCCTTGAGGGGTCACCGTAAGTTGGCTGCAACTTGATGGGCAGAGAAAAAAAACCAAACTACATTTGGGGGTGGGGGTGTGGATTCTCCTCCCTGCAATTTCGCTTGTGCTCCGCTATGCTCTTTTGTAGGGCTGTGGGGCATATATTTTGCTCCCCCTCCTCCCCCCAAAAAACCCTGAGTGGCACCGCACCGGCAGGAGAAGATAATCCGCACCGATCTCACCATGAAAGTAACATTGGAAAGGAGCCACAACCTTCTGAGGGTCAGGATTGTCCTGCGGGGGGGGGGGGGCAGCAGAAGCCTCCCGAGTTGGCACCCCTTCTCGTGAGTAGGCCAGGGGAGAAAAAAGTGGAGATCGTGTGCCCGGGTCATTCCTGATCAGGCCTGGCTACAAAATGCTCCAGGTCTGAAAACAAAACAAAGCGCTCCTGGCCTGGTTCCTACAGCTCCGCTCTCTCCTCGTCCCCTTCCCTGCAGGCCAGCTTCCTATCCGTGGGCCTGCTGCCCTGCCGCCAGCCTTCTTGTTCCAAGGAGACACATTTCTTGGCTCTCTTCCCGGCTCAAAATGGACTCGGCCTCATCTCGCTGCACAGCGCTCCCGCTGCCCCCTCAGGCGCCGGTGCCAATTGTGCCCGGGCTCGCTTTTCGGCCTACAGCCCAGCCCCCGTGCCTAACTACAGTTCCCAGGATCCTTTGGGGGAAGCCACAACAGTGGTTTAGAAACAGATGCCGGTTTGTTGTAGGACTGTGGATTTAGGGGGCTGGGGGTTCCAGCTAGAGGCGCCAGCGGAAGCGACGGACTAGAGAGTGGGTTGCCAACATACCATGGGGGAGCGCCCGTACAACACCGTCCCGCTGATCTGAGGGGAGAGGTGGATGTTGACGTAGGAGCTGGAGGCAGCCAGTTCACTGCTGAGGGCAGTGTGGGGCACAATCCCAAACGAGGAGGTGTAGGAACCGGCCATGCTCAGAGGACTGCGAAGGGCTGGGGGAGACAACAGGGGTGGGGGGAGCACCACTTAACAAACAGAAGTCTGTGCAAATTCGGATCTTCCCACCTGAGCCAGCGAGGAATTCTGTGAGACTCGGATGTTCGGAAAAGGTGTCCCTCATTAAACCGGGCATTAGAATTTGGCGTGTGTTTGTGTGTGTGGGGGAGGTAAATTTAATAGCCCACACCTGGATGGCCCCAGGCTAGCCCAATCTCCTCAGACCTTGGAAGCAATGTTCTCTCTAATTTTTTTCCTCTGCTGAGCGGGGCAGTTGACATCCTGACCAGGATATAACGGTTGTAGTCTTAAAATGGGTCACGGGCAGTGCCAGACCCCGCCCGGCTTCCAACTACTGTGGAGCGGGGCTTCCTGTGTCAATGAGCGGCCGCTCACCCACACAGCTGAGCGGGGGACACTGCTTGGAAGCTAAGCAGCGTCGGCCCTGTTCAGTACTTGGATGGGAGACCTCCAAGGAAGTCCAGGGTCGCTACACAGGGGCAGACAATGGCAAACCACCTCTGTTGGTCTTTGCCCTGACCTGGATAGGCCGGGCTAGCCCAATCTCAGATTCCACAAGCTAAACAAGGTCGGCCCTCATGAGTACTTGGCTTTGAGACCCCCCCAAGGAAAGGCAAGCAGCGGCAAACCCAGGGGTCATTTCGTAGATAAAGAGGTGCAGGAGCTCATCAGCATAACTCATTACCATAACTTATTTGCATATGCCACACCCCCTGACATCACCAGAAGTGTGTCAGAAGGCAACACCCACTGCTCAGGCTCCACTGGACTGTTTTGGATTGCTAGCTATTCGGGGGGGGGGACACGTGCAGATCTGCCAGCAGAGGAGGGAGAGCTCGTACCTGAATAAAACTTGGTCTTAAAGGTGCCACTGGACTGTTTTGGACTGGGGGGCTGGGGGGGGGGGCTCTGCAACGTACCTGGCTGTTTCTTGCTCTGACTGAGGGCTGCTGGGAGCAGGGGGTGGGGCTTGTTGCATGTGTCCCCCCCTTCGGGCTCTTTACTGCCAGAGTTCCGCTCCTGCAGGAAATGACCCCTGGGCAAACCGCCTCTGTTTGCCCCGTCCGGAAAACCCTGTGGGGCTGCCGTGAATTGGCTGCGACTTGACAGCAATTCCCACCAATTCAATAGTACTAAATTATAATACAAATCGAACACATGCACAAATGCAACGTGAAAAATCTATCCGTTATTTTTAATACAAGTTCTTAGATTCTCTGCAGGAATTCCTTGCAGACCTTGAGCCCCCACACTTTGCGTGGGGAAGGCAATCTAGAAATGTTAAAATAAATAAAAAATAAGAAAGACAACACCTGCCGAGACATGCATCGGTGAAGGATGTTGTCTTTTTGTTTGTTTGTTTCAGACCAATTATTCACATGCAAATGCGTGCCGATTCAATGAACAAAAAGTCACCCGGAGCCATCCCCCCACAGATAACGGATGTAATGGGTGATAAAATTGCATATGGCATGTAAAAAAAAATGACGCAAGGAGTACAATTTGAAGAAACTGGGCTTACTGATGGCGTCTGTAGCCAAGGGCTTGGAGGTGATCTGTTGGACCTGGGCAGGGCAGCTGGGACCGGGCCCCAGGCCTAAGGACTCCTGGGATGTCGACAGTCCGGCCGACTTGCAGGTGGAAAGGCTGGTGGGGTTATCGCTCTGGAAGACAAAGGACACCGCTGTTCTGAGAAAGTGGCCCCACGCCCTTTTCACACATCTTGAGTATCGCTGGATTATTAGAGGTTCATAAGAAAAACACATAAGAACGTAAGAGAAGCCATGTTGGATCCAGTCCAGCACCCTGTGTCACACAGGGGCCAAAACCCAGGTGCCCTCAGCAGGTCCACCAGCCAGGCCAGAACTCCAGAAGCCCTCCCACTGTAGCCCCCCAAGCACCAAGAATACAGAGCATCACTGCCCCAGACATACGAACATAAGAAAAGCCATGTTGGATCAGGCCAATGGCCCATCCAGTCCAACATTCTGTGTCACACAGTGGCCAAAACCCAGTGGCCATCAGGAGGTCCACCAGTGGGTCAGAATTCCGGAAGCCCACTGTGGCCCCTCAAGCAGCAGGAAGACAGAGCATCACTGTCCCAGACAGAGAGAGAGAGAGAGAGAGAGAGAGAGAGAGAGAGAGAGAGAGAGAGAGAGAGAGAAGAGAATACTCAAACCCAGTCCACCAACCATGGATAGCCATTGATGTCTGTATCCAGCTCTCTCTTAGCCAAGCCAGAATTAAATAATCTCTTCTGGGTTTTTGGGAGAGCTCTTGACAGAAACTGCTCTTGTTCAAGAACAGCTGTGACAGAACTATGGCTTGCTCAAGGTCATCCAGCAGGTGCAAGTCCAACATATGTCAGGTTTTTTGGGGGGGGGCAAAATACAATATTACAGTTGATATTGTGCTAACAGAGGTCAGGCTGTTTATAATAGAGAGAAAATGGCTGATCACGCCACTTGGAGATCAGCTGCTCTCCTGTCCGAGTGCCATCTGCAAATCTTCTGGAATTTCCCAACTCAGAGCGGGCCACCTTATACACCTTAGGAGCTAGTTTGGTGTAGTGGTGAAGTGCGCGGACTCTAATCTGGGAGAGCCGGGTTTGATTCCCCACTCCTCCACTTGCACCTGGCTGGATGACCTTGGGCAAGCCATAGTTCTGATAAGAGCTGTTCTTGAAAAAGAGCAGTTTCTGTCAGAGCTCTCTCAGCCCCGCCTACCTCACAGGCAGTGTTGCTCTAAGCTGAGTTAGTGTGAGCTAGCTCACAGTTTTTTAGCCTCCGGCTCACACATTTTTGTCTTAGCTCAGGAAGGGTGGCTCCAGAGTAAACTAATTTATGCAGTAGCCAAATCACCTGCTCACAACTTTAATGCCAGTAGCTCACAAGGTAGGATTTTTGCTCACAGGACTCCACAGCTTAGAGGGAACATTGCGGGTGCCTGTTGTGGGGAAGGGAAGGGAAAGGAGTTTGTAAGCTGCTCTGAGACACCTTTGGGTAGTGAAGGGCAGGGTATAAATCCAATCTCTTCTTCTTCTTCTTCTACACCAGGCAGTCACCCATGGTTTTACCCATAAAGAATCCAGGGAATTGTAGTTTGGTGACAGGGACCCTTCACATAGAGATCCTTAACCCCCCTGCCCTCCCCCTTCCGTAGCACTCTGTACATATCGATGGCATGGAATGAAAGGACTGTGCGTGAACCCCTGGCACTGAGTTTGGGTGCTCTCGGAAGAAACAAAGCTGTCCTGGAACAGACCAAAGGATCACTTGGCTCTGGGTGCTGTTTCCAACAGAGGACAGCTGCAAACAAGTCAGGAGAGAGAGAGAGAGAAAGAGGTTTCATTTGGCTGCTCTGACAGACCCTTCCTTCACGTCCTGCATTCCCAGCCTTAAAACAGAACCCAGAAGGCTCCTGATACAAATTCAAGTCTTGGCAGGGAGGCTTGGAGGTCAAGATTTAAACCCTCTCTCTATGCTGGGGGGAGGAGGCTGCAGGCAAAAGGAACCCCCCCACACACACACCCCTTTTAATTCACCTCCCTTTTATCTTGTAGAGGAGCAAAGTAAGATCTCAACCCTGCAGTTCAGGGATGGTTTCTCCTTATGGGGCTGTGCCTATTCTAATCCAGGGGGGGCAGATATAGCCCCCCCCCCGTCTATATGTGGCTTGTACGCTCTCCCTTGGAGTCTCCCCCCTCTTCCCTTTCCTTCCTGGTGGCTGCGGGTTTTGACATCCGATCGATGCCCTTCTCTTCCCGGCTCCCTCCCGCCCTGATGTTTCAATCGGAGATCTCAGGGGCGATCGATAGATTTGAACCGAGAGCCGCACATTCTATTTATAAAGGGAGGAAAAGCGCGTGTTGGAGGGGGCTTGACATAAGAGGGGAGGAGGGGGAGAGGAGGTGGGAGAGCTCAGGGGGATTTCTATAAGCGGCCGAACAGAAAAGAGCCTGGGGATGGGGGGGGGTGAGGGTGGAGATTAAGCATAACAATGATTACCAGTTCAATACCCCCCCACACACACACACACCTCGTTGGGGAAGCTCTGCGCTTCTCTCCCGCCTAATCTCACCCTGATGGCAGGGTAACCCCACCCCTCCCCCGGCCTGTGCTAATAGCAATTAATTATACATTACAACCCTCGCAGGAATTCAAAGCCCCCAGTGGCCTACTAATTAACGGAGCCGGATAGTCTTCCTTTGGAGGAAGGGGAGCCGCGGAGAAGAGGAGAAACAGAGAGGCGATTTGCTATTTGGAAACAGGAGGAGACGGAACCCAGGCGACCGGGCTTCTACTGCTATGGGGGCGGGGGCGAGGGCCCCCTCCATCTCATGAAAGGGACACGCACGGCTACAGGGGGACCTGCTAGGTCAGACCCAGGCCCCGTGTAGGCCAGCACAGTTCTTCCCACAGTGGCCGGCTTTGGGAAATCCCTGGAGATCTGGGAGGGGGAGTGAAACTAGGGATGCCGGCCTCCAGGTGGGATCCACCGGAATTACACAGCTCATCTCCAGACGACAGAGATCGGTTCCCCTGGAGAAAATGGATTCTACGGCATTGCACCCCACTGAGGTCCCTGTCCTCCCCAGGTTGCATCCCCAAATCTCCAGGAATTTTGCCAGTCTGGATCTGGCAACCCTACTCCCTCCCCCGCAACCCTAGGTGCAACATGAGGGAGGTGGGGTTTGGGGAGGGGCCTTGGTGTAGGACAATGCCACACAGTTCACCCTCCAAAGTTGGGTTGCCAACTCCAGGTTCAGAAATACCTGGAGACTTGAGGGTGGAGCCTGGGACAGTGGAGCTTAGCTAGGGGAGGGACGTTGGTAGGGTATAATGCCATGCAGTGCACCTTCAAAAGCAGCCATTTTCTCCAGCTGAAAAAAATGTTTTAAATAAATAAGGGATTTATGTAGTCCGAAGCTCATTGGTAATTTGGAGAGACCTCCAGGTTCCACCTGGAGGCTGGTAACTCTACCACCGTGGCCAGCCAGGTGATTTCAGAAAAATCATGTGCAGGACACATAGGAAACAGCCCTCCTTTGCTGTTTCCGCCTCAGCAACTGGCATTGGGAGATAGACTGCCTTTGAAGCTGGAGGTTCTATTTAGGAGCAGTTGCTTGGGTGGCACTCTCCTTCCCGGCTGGTTTCCTCCAGTATCTGCCTGGATTTACTTGAAAGGATACGTCTAATGTATCTGGTTTCATTTGGTAGGCTTGCCAACTCTGGGTTGGGAAATACCTGGAGATTTTGGGGGCGGGGTCTGGGGAGAGGGCGGGGTTTGGGGAGGGACCTCAGCAGGGCATAATGCCTTAGAGCCCACCTTCCAAAGTAGCCATTTTCTTCAGGTCATCCGGAGATCAATTGTAATAGCAGGAGATCTCCAGGTGCCATCTGGAGGTTGGGAACCTAGGATTTCAGGTAGCAAATTAACTAACCTGTAATCCACCCCCGCGTGCCTCTTTTTTAACCCGATGCTTCTTTTAAGCCCCCCCCTCCAATATTTACTACCCTAGAAGATGATCAAAAGCTGGCTTTGAGTTGACTAATGAGAATACAGACAAGCTAGGTAAAGGTAAAGGTTCCCTTGCTCGAAAGCCAGTCGAATCCGACTCCAGGGTTGCAGTGCTCATCTCCGTTTCCAAGCCGAAGAGTCAGCGCTGTCCGAAGACCTTTCCGTGGTCATGTGGCCAGCATGACTAAACACCAACGCTGTTCCCTTCCCACCGAAGTGGTACCTATTTATCTACTTGCAATGTCTTGCTTTCGAACTGCTAGGTTGGCAGGAGCTGGAACTAGAGACGGGAGCTCACTCCGTCATGCGGCACACTCGGGTCTCGAACTGCTGAACTACTGACCTTCCACAGCCTGCAGTTCAGCATCTTAACCACTTGATTGGGGGGGGTGTCGGGACAATTGAGCATTCCTCCCTCCCTGGACTGAAACCTTCCCTCCATGACCCTATAAGCCCGGAGAGGTCTGAAGAAGCCCACTTCTCCGTTCCTCCTCTGTGTTCTCATTCCGGCTGTGTTCCCCTTCAGCTGTCCTCTCCAGACGTTAATGAGCCTGTTCTGTTCTCATCAGGCCATTTGGGGGAGGGTTTTGGGTTGGTAATTTGCAAATAATATTTTTTCCCCCCACATGCCTTGCAAGTTCACCAACCGGGCAGAACGCCTCCGGTCAGCAGACCATGAAGTTCAGCTGCAGAGAACAAATAGCCAGCTTGCAAGGAATCCTTTGAGGGGGAGCTGGGTACACGGTCCCCCCCCCTCCACCCAAGACCAGCCATTTGGGAGGCTCCTCCCCCACAATTCATTTAGAAGTCTTCACAATTCATTTACAAGGACCGCCTCTCCCTGCATGTCCCCCCAGAGAGCACTGAGGTCAGGGTCGCAAGACCGTTTGGCCTTCCCTGGTCCGAAAGAAGCCAGCCTGGCCTCTTCCAGTGCCAGGGCTTTCTCAGTGGCCGCTCCAAACTGGTGGAATGAGCTCCTGGAAGAGATCGGGGCCCTGCGGGACCTTTTACAGTTCCGCAGGGCCTGTAAAACGGAGCTCTTCCACCAGGCCTTCGACTAGGAGCCGTCACTAATAACATCAACAACATCAACAATACTGACTAAACTGAATAATGCTAACCAGGGGTCATTTCGTAGAAAAAGAGGTGCCGGAGCTCATTAGCATAGCTCATTAGCATAACTTATTTGCATATGCCACACCCCCTGACCTCACCGGAAGTGTGTCAGAAGGCAACACCCACCGCTCAGGCTCCACTGGACTGTTTTGGATTGCTAGCTATTGGGGGGGGGACACACGCAGATCTGCCCTAGCAGAGGAGGGAGAGCTTGTACCTGAATAAAACTTGATCTTAAAGGTGCCACTGGACTGTTTTGGACCGGGAGGGCGGGGGAAGGGGTCATTCTGCAACTTACCTGGCTTCTTCTTGCTCTGACTGAGGGCTGCTGGGAGCAGGGGGTGGGGCTTGTTGCATGTGCCCGCCCCCTGGGCTCTTTACTGCCGGAGCTCTGCTCCTGTGCGTTCCTGCAGGAAATGACCCCTGAGCTAACTAACTGTGCCAGATGCTGACGGGGGGCCATTTTTTGGGAACATCTTATCATGAGGTATGACTTGACATGTTTGTAAGTTATGACGCTGTACTGTATAAGTACTTGTGTTTTAACATTTTTAATCTTTAACGTAAGCCGCCCTGAGCCTGCCTGCGGCGGGGAAAGCGAGATAAAAATTGAATAAATAAATAAATAATAAAATTCTGGGGGGGGGTCATGTTTAATAGTCCAGACTCCAGATCCGCCCTGAGTCCCCGCTTACTAAATTGGGGTCCTTGGCTTTGAGAGGGGTGCCACTTCGACTGGAGGCCAGCGAGGCTGGGCTGTCGGGGATGTCCCTCCGGCCGGGCAAGAGCTTGGCAGCAGACACACACGCAGGGATGTCGTGCTCCGAAGGAGGGTCCTGGATGACAAGAGAAAGGAGGGACAACCAAGAAGAAGGGAGGACAACAGAGAGAAAAATGCAACGCAGCAGCAGCAGCAAAAAAGGAGTGAGACAACTCAGCGTGCCTGGACATAGATGGGGGCCGCAGGGATCTTTTTGTAGAAAAAACCCAGCTGGAACTAATTAGCATATTGGGCCACACCCCTGGCAGCACAGCTCATTAGCACATTAGGCCGCACCCCCATGTTACCAGAAGTGTGGTCATCCAGCCACACCCACCTTTTGCTTCTTATTCTGTTTACCTTGTTTGCTGTCAAAACCCAGGGCCTTTTTTTGTAGCAGGAACTCCTTTGCATGTTAGGCCACACACCCCTAATGTAGCCAATCCTAATGAGTTTCTGCTGTTGGGTGTGGCCTATTATGCTAATGAGTTCCTGCTGGGTGTGACCAACTCGGGAGCCAGCCGGAACTCCGTTCCTGTGCGTTCCTGCCCAAAAATAGCCCTGATGGGGGGGACGACTACATCACTCCGAGGGTGCATAGGTGTTATCTCCTTGAATGGGGTGCCTCTTTTTGTCTTCTTCCCTCTGACCTTCCGTCTCACTTTGTCCTCTCCCTCTCTTCACAGGGCCTTCCATGGAGACACGCATCTCTGCAGGTCTCTCCTGGAGAGACAATGCCCATATACTCCCACACAGATGATGCTGGACGAGCTGGCCATTTATGATGGGGAGAGTACTCTTTAGATTAGGCTTCCCTTTCTTCTTTTTACTGAAGCTGAGTGTGAATGGGATCTCCTTGAATAAATGTAAGTTTATCTCTTTTTATTTTTTTGCGCAATATATGCCTGGAGAGATTTAGTTACTGCTTCTGTGACTGGGCAGTATTAACCAAATACCTTGGACACTGAAAAACCTGAAAGAAAGGCTTGGATCCCGGAGGGGCTATGTGTCCATGTGTGTGTTTGTGTGGGGGGCTATCAAGGGTTACAGGCAGGGGTTGTTTCGTAGAAAAAGAGCTAGGGGAACTCATTAGCATAACTCATTAGCATATGCCACATCCCCTGACATCACCGGAAGTGTGTCATAAGGCCACACCCCCTGACATCACCGGAAGTGTGTCATAAGTCCACACATCCCGCCCCCAACGGTCCCGGCCGCCACCGCCAGCCTTGCAGCTCCACTGCCGAGCCCCATGAGGGGCCCGGAAGAAAAGTACTGGGATCGTTTAAATTTATTTTGCTGACATTTTTAAAAAAGTTTATGTAATTTCTCATATGACATGAACCTTAATGCCCCCCGTACCTCACCCGGGGGAACTGCGATCCCCCGCGATCCCCCCCGAAATGACCTCTGGTTACAGGGATGGCTTGCAATCCTACAAACAGAGCAGGGCTCATCCATCACGAGGTTCCACTTGCTTTTACAGGTGGCCCAGTCTTCCCAGGCCAGGATATCAAGGGTTAAATTCAGAGCAGGGGTGGAAAGAACAGACCAGAATTAACAGGGTTCCTGCACACTAGATAGGCACAACTCTGCCGCAAGAAAAGATGAATTTCTGCAACCTCTTTCGAAGATGCAGATTTACTGTGCATAATCTGTTCTGTGCTTTGCTCGCCCGGGGTGTGTGTGTGGGGGGGAGCACGCCGGTACAGCACGCAAGATAAATCCTCACCACATACCTCGTCAACGACCAGGTTGTAATCACTTCTCTCCCCATCGCTCTCCTGCAAGTGGGGAGGGGGGGAGAATAAAACAGAAACAGATGGAATTGTCGGGCAGGGCGAGATGACCCCCAAAGCCCCTTCTGAGCAAGCAATTAATCAGCCCCTCTGGATTTGGAAGCTGGGAATTCAGCGCAAGACGGCAGACATCGGAAGGAGGGGTGATGATTGCCAACTGACCGTAGGGGAAAAGAGCCCCAACTGTTTCATTTTGTCTGTTTCGTTCAGCGGGGGGGGAGGAGTAAACTTCTGGGCAAGTTGCCAGGCTTTGGGGCCGCTTGCCAGAATATGTTTGAATAAATCTGGAGTTGAAGTTTTTTGGGGGGGTTTTAAACACACCAAAAACCCCAATGTTTTAAAAGTTATTCCAAATAAATTCCCCGCTTTTCTCCACAAGAGCTTCCCAAAGTTTACAAGCCCTCGACACAGAATAAAAAATATATTAATTATAAAATCCCCCACTCTATATCTATATAATTTAAATGCAGCAAAAGAGAAAACAACTTGAAGCAAAAAGAGATTCCATAGGGGACACGCCAAAGGTGTGGTGTCACCACTGAGAAGGCCCCAATCCCATCAAAATAATGCCTAAATTCAGGAGCAATGAGTTTACTGATTGGAGTGCCCTTTATCCCTCTTGGTCCACAGGATGACCTGACGTGAATGGGCAACACTGTATTATTCCAAGACACTGAAAGGCTGGACAACACTTCCAATTACCATGTCAGATTACACAGGGAAGCCATTGAAATTCATAAACATAAACACAATTTCAACAGGAAAGAAGAGAGTTTAAAAATAGGGCATGATTTCCTGTCCTGAAAAACACAAAAGGCTCTACATCTCACAATAGCACTACAGATAAGAGTAGAATTTCAACAGCCAATCCACATACAAAAGAACCTCCTCAGGAAACCTCCTCAGGAAACAATCCATATACAAAAGAACCTCCTCAGGAAAGCTCCTCCATTAGCATGTTCATAGCCAGGGGAACTCCTACAAGAGAATGACTCAGCCCTACCCCACCTTCTGGAGTAGATATAAATTACCTGCCTACCGTTTTCTTCTCACCTTGACACAGAGAGTACTCCATCCTTCTGTGTTATACCTCTGAGGATGCCAGTCACAGTTCCTGGCAAAATGTCAGGTTCTACAATGCCATGCCACACAACCCGGAAAGTCTACAGCAACTACTGTATTATTTATTAAGCGTATTTTTATCCTGCCCTCGTCCATCCGACGAGCACAAGGTCTTCAAAGCGCACACCCTGCAAATCTTGCTGGTCTCTACGGTGCTTTTTTTTTTGTTTTGGTGGCCAAATCGTAGTTGACTTATGGCGACCCCGTAGGGTTTTCAAGGCAAAAGACTTTGAAAGGTGGTTTGCCATTGCCTACCCTCTGCATTGTGACCCTGGTATTCCTTGGAGGTCTCCCTTCCAAATACTAGCCAGGGCTGACCCTGCTTAGACTCCAAGATCTGTCGAGACCGGGCTCGCCTGGGCTATCTCAGGTGTTACTGGATTGGAATCTGTTACATGGGAGCAGGTTGTCCCTCGCCTCAAAGGTTCCTGGGAATTGTGGTTTGCTGAGGAGGTTTCTTACTCTTGAATAATCCACAGTGCTGCTTGTTTGCCTGGTCCCGGGATCACACTTTCCCACACACTGAATAATGCCCTTCCAATCCACTTTCAATCCACTTTGCAACTGGATTGTGAAATGGTAACATCCACTTGCAAACGGTCGCTGAAGTGCACTGAAAATCAGTTGGAAGTCCATTATTCACAGCATGTGTGAAAGTGCCTAAAATTGTCGCAGCCAAACTATCAAGATGGCAGCCAGGCGACCCACCGATGTGAGACTGGAAAGGCAGCCCAGTTCCCCATTGAGGCCCGCCGGCTGCTGCACTTACGTAATGCCCTGCTTCTTCTTTGGCCTCTGGCTTGCGCTTCCCCCCTGCGCTGTCCAGCTGTTCTTCCTCTTGGGGGCTCTCCGGAGGAGACGCAGAATTGCTCTTCCAGGGAAAAGAAAAAGAGGTCAGGACTGCGTTCAGAGAAAATCCCTGCAAAGTGGAACCATGCCCTAAAGGGTGGGACCCAAACCTCACTCGAGTTTGAGGAAGAAGGAGGAGGAGGAGGAGGAGATTGGATTTATACCCCGCCCTTCACTACCCAAAGGTGTCACAGAGCGGCTTACAATCTCCTTTCCCTTCCCCTCCCCACAACAGACGCCCTGTGAGGTAAAAGAAGAAGAGATTGGATTTATACCCCGCCCTTCACTACCCAAAGGTGTCACAGAGCGGCTTACAATCTCCTTTCCCTTCCCCTCCCCACAACAGACGCCCTGTGAGGTAAAAGAAGAAGAGATTGGATTTATACCCCGCCCTTCACTACCCAAAGGTGTCACAGAGCGGCTTACAATCTCCTTTCCCTTCCCCTCCCCACAACAGACGCCCTGTGAGGTAAAAGAAGAAGAGATTGGATTTATACCCCGCCCTTCACTACCCAAAGGTGTCACAGAGCGGCTTACAATCTCCTTTCCCTTCCCCTCCCCACAACAGACACCCGGTGAGCCAGGTGGGGCTGAGAGAGCTCTGGCAGAAACAGCTCTTTTTCAAGAACAGCTCTTATCAGAACTAGGGCTTGCCCAAGGTCATCCAGCAGGTGCAAGTGGAGGAGTGGGGAATCAAACCCGGTTCTCCCAGATTAGAGTCCGCGCACTTAACCACGACACCACTGCTGGCTCTGGATTGTGAACCTGGATTGTGACATGGTAAAATCCTACTGGGGTGGGAAGGAAACACTCACGGAGGACGTGTTCACACTGTCGTGAGGATGGAGTGAAGCAGAGGGACAGGGTGTAAGGGACCCGAGCCTTCACTGTAGGGTTGGCAGGTCCCCCTTGGCCACCAGTAGGGAATGGGGTTGTCAGCTCCTGAAAACTCCTGAAAATTGGGGGTTGGAGCATAGGGAGTGCCAGGCCCATAGCCACAGTGGGGCATCTCGGGGCTAGGCCCCCTGACTTCCCATCCAGCCCAGGGCTCCTGAGCGGCAGCAGGTGTGGGGAGGGAGTTGGGTATCCCTTTAATTCAATTAGCCAGTGCCCCCTAAGAAATTTAAATGCCCCCTCGACTTAAATATCCTGGCTACATGCCTGGGGAGTACAGGGACTGCAGTGGGGTACAGTGCCACAGAACCCATCCTCCAAAGCATCCGAGTTCTCCAGGGGAACTGATCTCTGTAGTCTGGAGATGAGCTGTAATTCCTGGGGATGTCCAGGTCGCACCTGGAGGCTGGCATCCCTATCTGGTTGTGGCATGGTTTCCAACTCCAGACTGGGAAATTCCTGGACGGCTGGGGGTGGGTGGGAGCTTCACAAGGATGTGGTGCCACGGAGTCCACCCCTCCAAAGCTGCTATTTCGTCCAAGGGAACTGATCCCTGGAGGCCAAACAACAGTTGTAATTCTGGGGGGACCACTGGTAACAGAATACCTGGGACAGGACCTGGTTGTGACTACCAAAGCCGGAATAAACCAGGCAAAATGACGATCCAACCAAAACGCAGAATTTGTGGACAGAATTCAGCTTTCCTTGGGGTGGGATTTGGACCGCAGGTGTTCGGGATGCAAGCAGGCATCTTGCCTGTGCCTCATCCTGCCGGCCCCTTTGCAGGTCTAAAAAACCATAGTAATATTTTCTTTTTAAAAAACATCGGAGCTCCGTCGAACAGCGGCAGCTTCTTGGAGACGGTCCCTAACGCACAAAGAATGTTTGCACAGTGGTTGGAATTAAAACAACAGTTGAAGAACTGCCGCTTGTGCAGGACTTGAAAGGAATTCTTCCCTCCCCCTTTGGGGAGATAATGAGGCATGACAGCAATGGAAAATCCCCATCAGCTGCTCGGGCTGTTTACTTCCACTGCCTTAACCTGCACGGTGCGGGAAAGAAAGGGGGGGGGAGGGGCAGCGAAACCCGGCTCTACAGAGCAATCCTAAACACAGTTAATGCTGATCGAGACCCGTCAACTCCAATGCACCTAAAAGGGTGTGACTCTGCTTAGGTTTGCATTCTGTGTGCATCCATAATTTACAACAGTCCCTGTTTAATCTGGGGCACGAGGCTCCAGCACCTGTTTTGCCTTGGGAGATTTGGGGAATTCCTTTTCAAAACATACGTGACAAGGGCTTCCCTTGAAGCTTCGAACATAGGGTTACCAGCTCCGGGTTGGGAAGTTCCTGGAGGTTTTGGGGGTGCAGCCTAAAGAGGACCTGTTCCATCACGGAGGGCATGGTTTGGGAAGGGGACGAACCCAGCGGGGTAGAATGCCATAGAGTCCACCCTCCAAAGCAGCCATTTTCTCCAGGGGGAACTGATCTCTGCCATCTGAAGAGCAGTAGTAATTCTGGGGGGCCTCCAGGCCCCACCTGGAGGCTGGCAACTACGTGTGTCCCAGGCAGAGGACTTCCCAAACAGGAAATGATGGCAGAGTCGTGATTGTGGTGCACATCCACACAAAAGGGACGTGCGTGTACACCAAAGTGCTTTGTACACGGCAGCTAAACTAGGTTCATCTTTAACCCTTGGGACTGAGTTAGTGTGAGCCAGCTCACGTTTTTTTAGCCTCTGGCTCACACATTTTTGTCTTAGCTCAGGAAGGATAGCTCCAAAGCAAACTAATTTATGCAGCTCGCTCACAACTTAATGCCAGTTGCTCACAAAGTAGAATTTTTTGCTCACAAGACTCCATAGCTTAGAGGGAGCCTTGCTTGGGACACTACAAAGTTTGAGTCCAGTCAGGCACCTTTAAGACCAACAACGCTTAATGCTGGTATAAGCTCTTGCGCACACGAAAGCTTATACGCAGAATTATAATTCCGTTGGTCTTAAAGGTGCCCGACTGGACTCTAACTTTGTTCTGTTGCTTCAGACGAACAGAGTCGACCGCTTGAATCTACCTTGGATAGGACATAAAACTATTGCAATTTTCTTTTTCCTTTGGGTAGATCCTGAGCCAGAACAGCACCCCTTTGGCTTCTGGACCTGTGCCCAGCGGCAGAGTTATTGCTCAGCCAGGCAGAGAAGAGAGGCATTTAACAATTGGCAGTGACAAAAAACGGGGAGAGTGATCGGCAGCGCCACAGACACAGAGTGCTCCTGTAACTTGGGGGTGGGGTGGACTAAGACCACTCTGTTGCTCATTTCGTTTTAATGTTATAAAACCTGCCGCATGTTCGAAATGCATCTCAGGCGGGCCAAACCACCACACGGGGGTCCTCCCGGAGAGGGGGCCTCTTTAAAGGGAGGGGGGGTTGCCAACTTGTCCCTCCAGCCGTCCCTTTAATATCACTTTGATCTGCAAGCAGTTCTCAGGCGATGTCAACTACATGCCACGGAAAGCGCCAGCTGCCCATTTCTGCATGGGGAAAAGCCTTTATTAAAAGGGCAGGACATTTCCCTCCCTGCCAGCAGCCCTAGAGCCCCGACTTGTTTCGTCTCCTGGCTGGTCACCCCCAGCCATTCTTTTCTAGGCCAGGAAACTTACCTGGCCCCCTTGGACTGACCGCTTCGCCAGTCTCATCCTTCCTTATTCACCGGCAACTCTCACCCATCCTAATCAGGGGTGTGTTTTACGTTGCCGTTTCTGTGGGGTCTCAGGAGGACCCAGTTTCAAAACGCACACAGCTTCTACGGAGAAAGGGCCGTCAACCCACAGCCGACTGATGGCAACCCCAACAAAGGGCTTTGTTGGGTGTTACAAGTTAAAACACTTCAGTATTTACTGGGTTAATGATGTTTGTTAAGTCACATGTTTGGTTACATCTATTTAGACAATAGGATGCCCAGGAACTTTGGAGCTAGTTTGTTACTCTGATTGGAAACTAAGGTGTCAAGTATTAGCCTTTTATGGCTTCTCTTCCCTCTTTGTGTTTCTTTGTTCTGACTGAGAAGAAGACGCCATGCCATTCCCGTTTTACCTTTTAGCTGTAAGGAAGTAGCCATTTTAGCTCTTTGTTATTTTATATCCCGTGTACCTTTTTCCCATGTTAGGTTTATAGTAAACTTTTATATTCTCTTAAACACACCATGGACTCAGTCTCTTTAATACTCTGCTGATTTACTTTAAACAAGAATCCCAACAAGGGGCTTTCTAGGCACGTGAGAAGCAGAGGTGGTTGGCCGTTGCCTTCCTTTGCAAATTCAGGTGGGCCGCCGTGTTGGTCAGAAGCAGCAGAACAAAGTCTGAGTCCGGCGGCACCTTTGAGGACAATGAAAGCTTCTACCCAGAATAAAACTTGGTTGGTCTTAAAGGTGCCACTGAACTTCAACTTTGTTCAGCTTCCCCTGCAGAGCCTTCCTTGGTGGTCTCCTATCCAAGTACTGACCTTGCTTAGCTTCCGAGTTATGGAGACCCCAGCTAGGGGCTTTCAAAGCAAGTGAGAAGCAGAGGTGGTTGGCCATTCCCTCCCTCTGCAGAGCCTTCCTTGGTGGTCTCCCACTCAAGTACTGACCTTGCTTAGCTTCCGAGCTATGGAGACCCCAGCAAGGGGCTTTCAAGGCCAGTCAGAAGCAGAGGTGGTTGGCCATTCCTTTCCTCTGCAGAGCCTTCCTTGGTGGTCTCCCTTCCAAGTACCGACCCTGCTTAGTTTCCAAGAACTGACGAGATCAGGCTATACCCACCAAGTTTCTAGCCTTTTGCAAAGACAGAATTAAAAGCACTGAGGGCGACATCTGGTGTGATCTCAGGGCGCGGAGGCACTGGGAGAAATGTTCTCTGGTGAACAAGTGCAGGACTCAAGTACCCTGTCTGGATTTCTGTTCCTCCCTAGGATGAGGGAAGTCTTACACATTCGAATCAGCTGTTCCAACATTGTGGAATCCAGCTCCCCCCCCCCCGCTGCAGAGTTTGGGATGCCTGCTGCACACCAATGTCACCTGCACCTTTGTGTCTGTGCAATGAAAACTTACCCGGCTTGAGGGGGGTTCTGGGATGTGCACCCCAGCAGCGAGACACCCCAAAGGTCCAGGAACAAATAAAGGAAAGAAAGATTTAATTAGACTTCTGCATGGGAACATCCCTGCAACACTAAAAACTAAATGAAATTGCTGAGCAGTCGGGTTAGAACAGATAAAAGGAAGTCCTTCTTTATCCAAAGAGTGATCAACACGTGGAATTCACTGCCACGGGAGGTAGTGGCGGCTACAAGCATGGACGGCTTCAAGAGGGAATTGGATAAGCATATGGAGCAGAGGTCCATCAGCGGCTATTAGCCACAAGGTATAGTTAGGAACTCTGGGGCAAGGGATGCTCTGTATTCTTGGTGCTTGGGGGGGGGGCAACAGTGGGAGGGCTCCTAGTCTCCTGGTCCCACTGCTGGACCTCCTGGTGGCACCTGGTATTTTTGGCCACTGTGTGACACAGAGTGTTGGACTGGATGGGCCACTGGCCTGATCCAACATTGGCTTCTCTTATGTTCTTATCCCTCTGTGAGACCCAGAGGGGCTTGACTGAGGCTGTCCCTAGAAAGTCTGCGCCAGCAGTAGGATCTGAACTGCGGAGCAGTTGGTACACAGCTCATCTTTTTAACTGCTGGGCCACTCTACCTCCCTATTTTTCAAAAAAGAAGAAGAGATTGGATTTGTACCCCACCCTTCACTACCCAAAGGAGCCTCAGGGCGGCTTAGAGCCCCCTTTCCCTTCCCCTCCCGACAAGGGACACCTTGTGAGGTGGGTGGGGCTGGAGAGAGCTCTTTTGAGGACTGCTCTTGAGAGAACAGCTCTGAGAGAACTTGTGGCTGACCCAAGGTCACCTGGTTAGCTGCATGTGGACGAATGGGGAATCAAACCCGGTTCTCCATATCAGAGTTTGCCGCTCTTGACTCGCTGCTCTCAGCTGCCCTGAGCCTGCTTCGGCAGGGAGGGCGGGGCATAAATCGAATAAGTAAACAAATAAACCCCTAGGTAAAGGTAAAGGTTCCCTTGCTCGAAAGCCAGTCGAATCCGACTCTAGGGTTGCGGTGCTCATCTCCGTTCCAAAGCCGAAGAGCCAGCGCTATCCGAAGACGTTTCCGTGGTCATGTGGCCGGCATGACTAAACACCAAGGCGCACGGAACGCTGTTACCTTCCCACCGAAGTGGTCCCTATTGATCTACCTGCAATTTCTTGCTTTCGAACTGCTAGGTTGGCAGGAGCTGGAACTAGAGACGGGAGCTCACTCCATCATGCGGCAACCCGGGTCTCGAACTACTGAACTACTGACCTTCCACAGCCTGCAGTTCAGCGTCTTAACCACTTGAGCCACTGCAGCTCCAAAAATAAACCCCTACATCAAACCAAAAGATGCAGAACTAAATTTTCCAGAGTGAATTAACCACATGCAGGAGGCAGCTATCAATAAACATGTATCATATTATATAAAAATTCATATTATTTTTGTTAAAAACCCACTTTTCTAATGCTAAGGTTGTACCACCATTCTCTAAAAGATAAGAAATGGTCACCGATATGTCCGAATGTTTGGATTTTTCTATTTCCATGACTGTCATGTTAATTTTGTAATCTCGGGGGGGGGGGGGGGCACCCCACCCTGCATTCCCTGCCTTTCTCCCAGGCATTACAGGGAACGGATTACATTTTATTGCATAAACTTAATACATGACATGGAAAGTGGTCTCTTCCGCCTTCCCCTTGTTGAAGCCAATGAGGGAAATCACAGCTGTGATTGACAGGCATGGGAAGGAGGAGAGAACGTTTTGCTCCCTTATTTCTGGAAGCCACTTCTTCCTCACTTGCCCTCGTTTGCACCAGTTCTCTTTTTTTAGATTTCTGTCTGGTTCCTGATTGCTACAGTCCTGGTCCTCTTGCATTGCTTGTGGGCTGTGACTTTCTCAACTCACTAATCGGCATTAGGGTTGCCAGCTGCAGGTTGGGAAATACCTGGAGATCTGGGGGTGGAGCCTGAGGAGGGCGGGGCTTGGGGTGGGGAGGGACCTCAGTGGGGTAGAATGCCATAGAGTCCACCTTCTAAAGCAGCTGTTTTCTCCAGGTGAACTGATTCCTGTCGCCTGGAGAGCAGGTGTAACCCCAGAAGAACTCCAGCTACTACCTGGAGGGCAGCATCCCTAATCCGCGTGGAGTGCCCAATCAGAAAGGCGTACTTCCACACATCCTAAATAATGCACTTTCAATCCACTTCAGCGACCGTTTGCACGTGGATTTTGCCGCTTCGCACAGTAAAATCCAGTTGCAAAGTGCATTGAAAGTGGACTGGAAGTTCGTTATTTAGTGTGTGTGAAAGCAACCTTTAAGAAAAATCATTTCTAAAGGCAAGTAATTCAAGGTGGACATATCTCATGCCTGCTTGTGATTTTCCAAATTATTTCAGAAAATAGGGTTAATGTAATAACAAGTGAGCCTCCCTCCCTCTCTTGTTAAAAAGGTCCGTGTTTACCAATCTATCCGTGAGGCTGAATCTGTCTGTAAGGCAGAAAAACAGAAACATCTGTAGATTTTCAATACAGGAAAATCAATGGTGCACCACAAATCGAAAGCAGCCAAGGAGGGTGGCATTACCTAGTGGTTGGAGGCAGGGTTGCCAACTCCCACTTGGGAAATACCTGGAGACAGGCCCGGAGCTACCGCGGGGCCCGCGGGGCCCGGCCCCCTAGTGGTCTTTATGGGCCTCCCTCTCTGAGCCTTGGAGAGAGCGGCACAAGCAGCAGCAGAGGCGGCGAGGCTGGGCTGAGAGATGCTTGCTTCCTGGCCCACCAGCAGCAGGTAAGCCCAGCCAGGCAAGGCGGCAAGCGGGTGCCTTGTCTGGCCCTGGCCAGGTATGCCTGGCTGTGCTCCTGCGCACCAACGTGCCCACACGCTGCACCTTCGTGGCCAGCCCAGCCACTGCAAACCTCGTCTCTCCCAGCCCCGGGAGGGAGCCGAGGGTGGAGGTCAGGCTGCCCCGGTGCGGTGACACGGGAAGGGGCACGGGGTTCCTCAGGAGGGAGCCACACGCTCCACGGTGAAGGGCTGCCCTTGCTGGGAGGGAAGCTGCCCCCCAATTTAATTAGTTGGCGGCCCCCCAAGGCCCTGTCACAAAAAAGTCCCTAGCGACTGGGCTGCCTGGAGATTTGGAGGACGGAGCCTGGGGAGGGTGGGATTTGGGGAGGGGGAGGGCCTAGAGCCCACCCTCCAAAGTAGCCCTCTTTTCCCCAAGGGGGATCTGATCTCTGTCGTCTGGAGAGGTAATCCTGGGAGATCTCCAGCCACCGCCTGCGGGGCAAACGTTTCTCTGGTGGGGCTGCCATTTTTTCTCTGCCTGTACACAACTGGCAGGAAGCAGAGAGGAAAGGGGACGCCCCAGGTTTCATTTACATATTGCGTGTTTACATATTGCGTGTTTACATCTCTAAAGAAGCACCTCAGGTGTTTTGCTTCTTTTTTTTTTTTAGAGTGTGCAGAGCTGCCAGGAAAGGGAGCGGACGTCCCTTCCCAAAGAGAGGAAATCAACTCTGTGTGTGTGTGTGTGTGTGTGTGTGTGTGTGTGTGTGTGTGAGAGAGAGAGAGAGAGAGAGAGAGACTCTCTCCATGCCTCCAGCTGGAAAAGGAGGAGGTGTGCAATGTTCCCTCTAAGCTGTGGAGTCTTGTGAGCAAAAATCCTACTTTGTGAGCTATGGGCATTAAAGTTGTGAGAGAGCCATTAGGTTGCTGCATAAATTAGTTTGCTTTGAGGCCATCCTTCCTGAGCTAAGGCAAAAATCTGTGAGCCGGAGGCTAAAAAACTGTGAGCTAGCTCACACCAACTCAGCTTAGAGGGAACACTGTGGGTCTGGTTCTGCAACTGGCAGCAGAAGGAGAAGCGTAGGACACTGCCCGGTGAGCTGCCCCAGCGCTACAGCCAAGCCCAAGCCCAGCGTCTTTTAAAAAGTCTTAAAAAAAATAATAAGGTCAGGCGTGGGAAAGTAAAAGCAGCTACCGGTAGGGATTCTCACATCTGCTCTCCACTCTTCTTTCTGTGGCAAGGGAACATGCACCTTTTTAAAAAGGCTTTTAAAAAAAAGTTTTAAAAAGGTTTTTAAGGGGAAATCTTGTGGGGCTGTGCCTTTAAGAAATGGGGCAGAGCCCCGAATAGCCCCACCGTAGCGACGGGCCTGCTTCTGGGAGCCCATCCTGGACTTCTGCCCAGGATCCCAGAGGGCCGGTGTTCCCTCCCTGAATGGTTAGGCGACACAGAGACAGGTCACCTGTACAGGCCGTAGGGCTCCCAGCTCTGGGCTGAGAAACTCCTGGGGGATTTGGGTGTGAAGCCTCCGGAGGACAGGGTTTGGGAAGGGGGAGGGAGCTCAGTGTAGTACCGTGTGCCGTAGGATCCGGCCCGCAAAGCAGTCCTTTTCTCCAGGAGAACGGATCAGCTGCAATTCTGAGAGATCTCCAGACCCCAGCAGGAGGCTGGCAACTCCTTGCCCATGAGAAATCCAGGTTATGGAAACGAGTGAAACCCGACGGAAATTAAAAGATGGGAGGCGTGCACAGAGCAGCAATTATTTCAGCTGTCTATTTCCATTCTCCCTTTTCTCTTACCCTGTCAGCTGAAATGTGTGTGAATGGGGGGGAGGGGGGGACTCGTATTTAACTGTCCGGGTTCAAGACTTGAGGGGGGGGGACACACACAAACAATCTCTGCCTGGGGGGGGGGACACGACTTCTCCTTGCAGGTTAATTGCACAGCTGCAGAGACAAGCGCTGAGGGGCCAGGGCCCCATTCCGCCTTCCTCCCTCGCAGGCAAGCGTTGCCCTTGTTTGGGAAGCCGGCCTCCGCGACTCCTGGCACCAGCAGAGGAGGTCAGGGGAAAAGATGTTTTCTGTGATCCTCCCGACAATTTTTGAGTGGTGGTTAACAGCAGGGGTTGCGCAGCAACGGGCAGACAATAGAACAATTAATTGGCATGGCGTGCATAATTAGCCGGCAATTTGCATGCTATGCAAATTAG